GCGTGCATTAATTAAAATGAAGTGTAACAATCCCCAGTTTGCGCTCGCGAACTACTCAGCAGTGCGCGGTGCAGTAATCTGGGCGATCGCACAGTGAGGTGTGCAAGATGCAGTGCATGAAACCGGTAGCACAGAGCTGAAAAACCGTAGCACTAGCAACACTTCACACCCAAAATCAAAAGGATGCCGTACCATAACGTGCGCATGAGCTGCACAAGAAGTCGAAATGAAGCTTCAACGTGCAATGCGAAGCAGGCCAACAACTTCGCAGGATATTCCTCATGGGTATGAATGAGGCAATCCCTGCACAACACAACTATGTAACGACATACCCGAGATGCCGGAACACCTTCTTTGGAGGTGATATATTGACATCATAACAGAAACGCTAAAAGCTTGAGCCTTGTTCCCCATGGGGCAGAGAGGCAAACTGCAAGCTTCAGGCCCCGCATGGCGTATTCAAATGGCCATGCCCGCATGTTCATAGAAGTGCCTTCACACTCGATATGAAGTGCACTGACTGTGAGCCGTACTCAAGAAAAGCATAGTGGCAATGTACGCGGCTTCCGCTATGCAAAACACTGTCTGGCTCCTTCTCGAAGGCTGAGTTTCATAAACTTTCTCCCAACAGATGCCAACCAGCATGCAGAAGCCGGCGATGGTTGTCCCCAGGCCAGCTCCCACATTGACTAAATCAGCATCCGCAGCGACCACGCTCAGAGAACATGCTACATCCTCGCCGTTATGGCCGATGCCAGCACAGCCCTCACAAGTTCCGCCACTCTTCTGGACGGAGTCTGCCTGCTTGACGAACCCGTTGACGCAAAACACGTCAAAGACGCACAGAACAAAAGCATCGAAGATGAGACTTCTGCTGAAAGCAATCTCCGGGGTAGTATGTTTGATGAAGAGTCCATGTAAGTAGACATGACCAGCTTGTAAGCACCAGCAGGCCGTCACAGCGCCGAGCGCCCCAAAGTACTCGTTGAGGAAGCTGCCGACGCAAGGCTTCTCATTCCCAGCAGGCCCTGCCTTATCTTGGGACTGCGCCTTGACACTGTCGAACGTTCCACTGGCCTCAACGTCCAAGGTGAGCGTCAGGATCTTGAAAAAGATCTGCATGCCGCCTCGCATGTGCGGCGCCAAGTGAAGGGTCGATTCCTTCTGCAGGTTGTAATCCGAAAGAGTACGGCCGCACTCAAACTGCCTGCCAGCAAAGATCAGGTGCTGCTGGTCGGGCGGGATGTCTGCCTTAATTTGGGACTTCGCATTGACTTTGTCGAACGTGCCACTGGCCTCAACGTCCAACGTAATCGTCTTGCCTGTCAGGGTCTTGTCAAAGATCTGCATGCCGCCTCGCAAGCGCGGCATCAGGCGAAGGCGTGCCTTCCATGGCACTGGGGCTACCGATAGTTCCGCGCTGCTGCGGCCATTCGAGCCCTACAGAGGTACATAGATACATAGATAGGTACATACGTACATGCATGCATACATACATATAAACACATACGCACATATACGCACATACAGACATACATACATGCCTTTGATGGGTTTGCAGTGATGCAGCAATGCACCGACGAATGGCATCCCCGGCCTGGGCCGGGGGTGCCGGTACACCGATATCGTTTTGTGAAATGGTGTCATCGCTCAAAACGTGTGGATACACGGGATGTCAGAACAATATTGAAGCCCAGGGATTAGGATTGTGGGTGTTGTTTTTTGCAGTTCGGGTTTAGGGCCGTTGAAGGTTTACGCGGATGGGACATCGGGGAATTGGCATACTTGCGACGATTTTGCGTTGACATCCTCAGCATCATCGCATTTCCGAGCGTTCAGCGCGAGTTATCTTGGGTATTGACATGTCCGCGCTTATTAAGGTGTATGCCGATAACTATGCACAAGTATCGATTTGTTGGAACTCCCGTGCAGGTCGGCATTTAGACAAGATATTCTGCCACACTGACGTGCATTAGTATGTATTTGCACATGTACCTGGAAATGTAATGACATAAACCTCAAAGCTGAAGTCCTTTACGCCTCAAATGGTGAACCCTTCAAGACTTGAAATGTTTGGCCTCAAGGCCACGACCCATACCCACACCTTCGACCCTTAATGCTTCAAGGCCTTAGCCGCAAATGACATACCCTAAACCTTCGAATCTTCAGTTTTCGAAGGACACAGCTTCACATCGCTAACCCCATCCCCGCCAGCAACCTCCGCTTACTCCCAAAGTTTGGGGTTTCCGGAGACCCTCCTGCCTCGGCCCTGCTCCCAAAGGCGGGAAGGCTCTCTCCAGTCGAAGGAGACGGCAGGCCGTCCGGTTGTGGAACATGAGGCTTTAACCTGAGGGCTTGGCTTTTCAAGCTTGGGGCGGCTTTTGGACTTCTTCAGCACTCATGATCCCCTTTAACTCAGTCAACAATTCGAGAAAGCAAACAGTTTCAGCACACTACGCTGCACCCTTTGATGCTCAATCTCTCTGCATCGCTGCGCTCACGGAGGGTTGATGATCTTGATTTTCCATTTCAGAAAACGCCCGGGAGCCTGCATGAACAGTTTTAGTTTTCTGTTTCCTTCCACATATTACCAGAAGCACAACGTGCACAAATCTTTATGGCTTAATTCGGGTTTTGCTGTTGGGGCCTGAGTTTCCCGGCTTGCCAGGAGATGGCCAGTTCAGCAAGAGCCCCAGCATGCCGGGCGCCCCAGAGACCTCGCATCGTATTCTGTGAAAAGCGCCACCAGCGGTTGTGGTAGTTGTTGTCGCTGCTTTCGTCGCAGCAGAAGCTTTCTGGCAGTAGCATCACGACAGTCAGTAGTTCCTGTTACTACTCTTGTGATGATGATGATGATGCTCACAAAACATAGGAGCAATAGCAACAACGACTTCAACCGCCCGGCCAGTCTTGGGAGCAGGGAAGACAGTAGCAGTAGGGCCTTCTGTTGGCAGACGTCGTATCATGCTGTCTCAGCTTGTGCAGCGCGTTTAGTAGAGAAGAAGAGCCCGAAAGCTCCAGCAGGACGGGAGCTTTGGCGGGTTAGAGGGGGTCGGAATAGTTGATAATAGCACTCTTATAGTCCCTACATAACCCCGAACCCCAAAACCCTAAACCCTAAATCCTAAACCCTAAACCCTATTCCAACTGTTCATGCCAAAAGTTCCGGCAGGGCCGACAAGAACGAGGAGGCCGGTCCAGGTAGCTCTAGGCTCAAGGCTCCGTGAGCGAAAGGGGGTGTGGGTTATAGAATCCCTTACAGAACCCTTGAAGTGAAAGGACTCCTAGAACCCTCTAATCTAATTAGTACAGAACCCTTGAAGTGAAAGGAATCCTAAAACCCTTTAATTCAGTGGTTCAGACCCTTGAAGTTAAAGGAACCCTAGAACTAGAAAGAGCCCAGAGGCGATTCCCTCTCTTCTTGGAAGCCTCGGATCTTATGGATTCTAGGGAACCCTGCGTGGAAGCTGGGCTGCAGTGTTTTCTGTGAACTGCAGACTTGGCCGAAGATTCCACTTCTTGCTGCAATCGGTGTAGCGGTGGTTGTTCACTCTTGCTTCGGATGCTCCGGTGAGTGCATGGGATGCGAGAGCGGGTTGTGGTATCCCACATGCCCTTGCCCCTTCGCCTCCTTCGAGGGATCTTGCACCCTTGCTTCCACAGCGGATCAGTTCAGAGCTTTGAACTGCCTTAGTTCCTGAGACGGAACCCGAAGCCTCCCGAAGCCTCCCGAAGCTCTGAAACGCAGGGCGGCGTTGGTCGCGAAGGGATCTGGTGGCGAGACAAGACCAAGAAGTGAGACTGCTTGCGGCTTCTGCGCCTTGTTGTTGGTGGTATGCCGGTCTCGGGTTTCAAGATCTTTATGGGTTCATCTATGTGTATATATATATATATATATATAAATATATGTATATGTAGGCATATGTATTGATGGATACTGATTGTGTTGCAGAGTTAATGGGGTCGTACGGTTTGAGGTGTCGAGTTTAGGGTTTGGAACTTGAGAGCACTTCTGCCACCAACCAATGGTGTGTCCCGTGTTGAATCGTGCCTGCTCAGAAATGCCATGATTGGGCGCGGGTTCGATTGCGTGGGCTTGCGCATCCGCGCGTTGTTAGTGCCTGGCATGTCTGCCTGTTCTCTGTCCGATGCCGTAAGAACTTCAAAGGGTCATGCAGGAGCTAATTCATTTTGGGACGGTGAACATGTCACTCAGGAGCCGAAACCAAGAGCAGCGACCTAAGCTGACGTGGTGGAAGCTTGCGACATGTAAATAAGCAGTTGCCCCGTGGCCGGATGAATCGCCGCATGAATCAAAGGGCCATCCCCCCCCCACATTGAAATCGGGTTCATTTCGGAGTCTAGACAAGCCTCTACCCTGAACCCTAAATTCTAAATCCGAAACCCCAAAGTGTCTTAGTGAAGTATCTGAGACTCGGCCGACTAGCCACTGGGCATGCTTTGGAGTTCTTCTCCGACATTACCCACTTGCTCGAGGCAAGCTTGCGGTGATGAATGACCTAGGCTTGTGCGAAAGAGCATGGGCCTTGGGTCGAAAAACTGAGCTGCTCTTGGGCTTTTGGACTTCCGCTTCACACGATGGGGGAGGCTTTCTCGCCTCTAGCGCAGGATGATTTTGCGCATAGGTGGTACATTCCACCTCCGACGTGCTTTGCAGCCTGAAGCATGCGGCATTAGCACGACCCTAAACCCAAAGCCCCCAGCACCAAAACCCCGAAGCCTTACATACACTCCTTCTTAAACAGCTCCGAACACTACAGACTACGGAGCTTATCCTCACAGCTTGGCCCCCGTTTCAAGTCTGCACACCCCCAAATGCAAACATCGCCTTTAGCAGCCCTCAACCCGAGACCTCGAAGTGCTAAACCCAAAGCCCAACACGCCACCCAAACCGCAATCCAAATCCCGAATCGGAGAGGAACAACCTGAACCCTACACCCTAAACCCCCACTTCTTGAGCGACCTCGGGCCCGGGAGTCATGTCGGCTTCCGCAGCGCTGGCGCGGGCCCTGCGCCCGTGGAGAAGGAGTCTTTGAACATCTTTTGAAATGGTTGGTTAGGATTCTGGTTTAGGGTTTAGGGGTGTAGGGCTTAAGGGGGGAGAAGGAGTCTTTGAAATGGTTGGTTAGGATTCAGGCTTTACGTTGCAGGGTGTAGGTTTCGGAGTTCAGATGCAGAGTTTAGGGTTCATGGCTTGACGTTTGGGGGTTGAAGTTTGGGGCGTGCTCTTTTTTGCTTTCTGGTTTGGAAGTGCGGGCCGCTTGCCTGATACAGCTATTGACCGCACAAGAAGGGCACGAGCAAACTGATACACTCACACCACTGCTCCCACTCGACTCGTCCCTGCCTCTATACTATGACATACTATAATACAGTATAATATACTACAATGTACTATAATATACTATGATATACTATAATATACTATAATATACTGGTCTAGAGTTTAGATTAGGGTCCACCGATTTTGAGACCTTTCTGTCCAGAATCTCTGGTCAAAGCAGCTTTTCTGAAGTCTAAGCTAAGAAGCAACCCGAGCCCTGTTATCGGGCAGCCGCAATGCAGGAGCTTCGTGCGGACGCGCAGTCCGCCATTTCACACGCAGGTGGTTGCTATAAAGTACCCTTAGTAGTATAGGGCCCCAAATTAGGGGATCTTCTGGGTTAGCAAAGGGGCTTAATTTACACTACTATGGCCGCCTTGCATACACGGTCTTTGGGTCCAGAATGAAAGGGGGGTCGAGGGCGCCAAATCGTCTGCTTGGTTGTAGCAATGTCCCTTGACAGCAAGGCATTCTCGAAACACCGGCAATCCTGCCTTGAGCAACATGCTGTTTTTTTATCCGGTCTGCTTCCTGTGTCTTATGATGTGATATGAGAGTTCCATTGACGTGAGTCTCATGTTACGGCTATGGACTGTCCGCACACCCCAAACCTGCCCCCAAACCTGTACAACGCCTAAACCCCCATTCGCCGACAGAGCCTTTATGGCACCCTTACAGTACACTTATAGAGCCCTTATCGAAGTGCCATTGTAAAGCCGTCATGCTGGAAACCAAACAGTATCCTTGTAGTATCTATCCTTATAGTATCCTTATGGTACACTTATAGAACCCTTATAGACCCCTTATAAAACCCTTATAGAACCCTTATAGAACCCTTATAAAGCCCTTATAGTACACTTATAGAACCCTTATATGTGCCCGCGCTCCGCGTTCTCGACCCCCCCCCCCCCCCCCCAATGGTATCCCCCCCCCCCGACCCGGGCGACCACACAACAAGAACAAGAACAAGAACAAGAAGAAGAACAGCAGCAACAACAAAGCAGCAGCAACCACGCGGAGGAACCACAGGAACCACAGGGGGGGAGGGGGGAGACAGGAACCAGAAGAACCACAAAAGGGAGGGGGAAAACCAAGAGGAACCACAGGGGGGGGGGGAACCACAGGAACCACAGGGGGGGGGAGGGGGATTACCATGGGGGGGGGAGGGGGGGGGGGGGGGGCGCGGATGCTGGCACATATAGACCCCTTATAAAACCCTTATGGTAGACCCAAGTACCCTTCCTTGCTCTCCTTCGATGCCTCGTTCCCAAAGACTCCAATATGCCTTGAAAGGAATATACCTTAAGTGGGATCCCTAATAAGGTATATTCCTTAATCAAGGGATAGTGGAGTCCCCTAAACCCTAAGCCCTAGAGATCCCTTAAAAGGAACCCTAGGTCCCTAGGTATATTCCTTAATTAAGGGATATTGGAGTCTCTGGGCTCTTCAGGGCGCCGCTCCGCTGGGCCTCCGGGCCCTGGCCACCGGCAGCTCCTCGGGGAGCAAGGCGCGGCTCGGCTTCGGGGTTCCTTTAAAAGGGGCTCCTTTAAAGGGGTTCCTTTAAAGGGTATACTAAGGGTTCCTTTAAAAGGGGTTCCTTTAAACGGGGGCTCCTTTAAAGGGTATTATGAGGGTTCCTTTATAAGGGTAAGAAGGGCTCTATAAGGGTACTATATGGTTCCTTTAAAAGGGGCTCCTTTAAAGGGGTTCCTTTAAAGGGTATTCTAAAGGGTTCCTTTAAAAGGGGTTCCTTTAAACGGGGGCTCCTTTAAAGGGTATTATCAGGGTTCCTTTATAAGGGTAAGAAGGGCTCTATAAGAGTACTATATGGTTCCTTTAAAAGGGGCTCCTTTAAAGGGGTTCCTTTAAAGGGTATACTAAGGGTTCCTTTAAAAGGGGTTCCTTTAAACGGGGGCTCCTTTAAAGGGTATTATGAGGGTTCCTTTATAAGGGTAAGAAGGGCTCTATAAGGGTACTATATGGTTCCTTTAAAAGGGGCTCCTTTAAAGGGGTTCCTTTAAAGGGTATTCTAAAGGGTTCCTTTAAAAGGGGTTCCTTTAAACGGGGGCTCCTTTAAAGGGTATTATCAGGGTTCCTTTATAAGGGTAAGAAGGGCTCTATAAGAGTACTATATGGTTCCTTTAAAAGGGGCTCCTTTAAAGGGGTTCCTTTAAAGGGTATTCTAAAGGGTTCCTTTAAAAGGGGTTCCTTTAAACGGGGGCTCCTTTAAAGGGTATTATGAGGGTTCCTTTATAAGGGTAAGAAGGGCTCTATAAGAGTACTATATGGTTCCTTTAAAAGGGGCTCCTTTAAAGGGGTTCCTTTAAAGGGTATTCTAAAGGGTTCCTTTAAAAGGGGTTCCTTTAAACGGGGGCTCCTTTAAAGGGTATTATCAGGGTTCCTTTATAAGGGTAAGAAGGGCTCTATAAGAGTACTATATGGTTCCTTTAAAAGGGGCTCCTTTAAAGGGGTTCCTTTAAAGGGTATTCTAAAGGGTTCCTTTAAAAGGGGTTCCTTTAAACGGGGGCTCCTTTAAAGGGTATTATCAGGGTTCCTTTATAAGGGTAAGAAGGGCTCTATAAGAGTACTATATGGTTCCTTTAAAAGGGGCTCCTTTAAAGGGGTTCCTTTCTAGGGTGTTCTAAGGGTTCCTTTAAAGTTACAAGGGTTCCTTCAAAGAGTATGATAAGGTTTAGGGTTCACTTAAAGGGTATTGTAAGGGCTCCTGTAAAGCGTGAGGTGATTCAGAGTTTCGGTATGGTTCAGGTTCGTATATGGTACTATAGAGCACCATCGGTTGGCTTTTGATTTGTAGTTCATCATAGGCGTTTGAGATTTTTTGAGTCTGGGGTTCAGAGCCTACAGCCGTTTGCATCGAGACAGCGACGCAGTCCTAAGCTGTCACAAGAAGGATATTTTCTCCTAGCGTTACGACCTGGTTCAGGCCTTGCTGTAGAGGGTTTAAATGCCCCCCCCCCCCCCCCCCGCATGTTACTCATCCGAGTGCCGATGTTTCTTGCATCCTTCGAAGTCCCCCGACTCTGGTCACATATCCGGATCTTCCTTCCGCATGCATGCTCTGCTAAAAGTCACCGCTACCCAAAGCCCTTAAAACTCCAAACCCTACATCAAAACTTCGATTCCCACACCCCACCCACACCGTTTTTGTTTCAGGTTTCGGGGTTCTAAACCCTAAACCCTAAGCCGCTCAGTCCTGCAAGCCCACAGGCCGCCGTCCTCGCGGAGGCGGCCGCGGTTCCCCCGGAGCGGAACCGGAACTTTAGCACCTCCGACGGGGTTTTGGACCCTGAAAATCCTAAACCCAACAAACCATAAAAACTCTGAAGCACCAAGCTTGATATAACCGAAATGCGTTCCGATTGCTTTTCTTATTGAGGCTTGTAAGGCTCTCTTGCATGTTGAAGGCTTTATTCTTCGGTGAGTTGAAAGGTTGATACCGCGGTTCAAGGGGCGGTTATGGCTTAGAGGTGTGGCCAGGCTTCGGCTTTGGGGGGGGGTAGGAGCGAGGGCTCGACACAGGTCGTCTGACATCAGGGCCCCGCCCCTTCCATTAGTTTAGCTTTGCAAGCACCGGAAACCGGAAACCCCCTGAAATTTCTAAACTGCAAGCCTCGAGACCCGAATCCTGAAAAGCCTCGTTGCCGGAAGCTGTCAACCTGAAACCCAGTCCCCCAAACCGAGGTCCCCTTAAAACCCCAAAGATTCGAAACCGCAGCCATAGCTCAAAGGTATCATCGCCCACGTCGACCACGGGAAGAGCACGCTCTGCGATCGGCTCCTCCAATCTTGTGGCCCCTTGGCCAGAGAGTTTGCGGTTTACTACTTGGAGGATCATGGGACTTAGTAAGTCAGGTTTTAAGTACCTTAATTGGGGTTATAAGTATAGTTACCCTAATGATAACCCTAGTTACTAAGTCCCATGAGTTCTGAGACGATTAGCCCGAGTCCCTGTAGACGCTTGCAGGACCCTGCTCTGCCGTGCAAAGTCGAGCCAAGGCGTGATTCCGGAGAATGCGAGGGAACAGTTCCTGGACGGTCTCGAGGCCAGGAGTTTCGAGGGTGTTTTGGGGAGCTGCCGCTCATCCTAAGGCTCCACAGCGGCATCCTCTCAGATGGTCCCTTACCATACTCCGAACCCTAAACCCTTTATAGATCCTGAACTGATATCCTGCGAGTTACCGGCCGGTGTACGGAAGCCTTGCTTATGCACAGGTGGAGCGCGAGCGGGGCATCACGGTCAAGGTGCCGCTTTAAGGGTTTACGAGGTTTAGGGTTGTTTCGGGGCCTTCGGGTGAAGGCTCAGGCTTCGAGGTCAGTGTTCCTTTCCAGTGGGATCTCTTTGGGCCCAGACTTTGTTTCTCCGCGGATCTTGAGCTTGTCTCTTTTGGGCTTTAAGTTGGGGCTGGAGAAGCCCTGGAAGCCTGACAGGAGATTGAGCTGCGAATCCTAAAGGCCCTGCGGCTGATAGAACCCAGAGAGGCGCAGACCTGCTCGATGCTGGTCCGGTCGGAGAAGGATGGGTTGCAGTACCTGCTCAACCTGATGCTCGCCTTGAACGGAAGTCTTCGTCGCCAGACATCAGAGCACACCAGCCGTTGCCATGAATGAGAAGATGTTGGAGAGGGCCGGATTGTCGACTGCTGTTCTGTTTCCAGCTTCAAAGGCCCATGTGCCGAGTTTCGAAGAATTAGGAGTCCTTTTTCGTTTGGTAAGGATCTACGAGTTCGGGCTCTATATCAGGGGTCCAGAGTATCATGTATCGAACCCTAAACCTTATTAGGATCCACATCATAAGGACCCCTGACCCCTCAGCAAGAGACCCCCTGACTACCTGTGTCCCGCTGCCTGACGCTCCCAGGATCGACACGCCCGGGCATGTGGACTTCTCGTACGAGGCCGGATCAGAAAGCTTCTGTTGTAAGATGGCCCCCGGGAGGTTCCTTGGATGGGCGTAAACTGCATGGGTTCGGGCCAGAATGTCCAAGCCTGTTGCCCACAACCATAAGCTACAGCAGCTGTTCACTCCTTAAAACAGGATGCCCGTTGCCCTGGAGGTGTCCCGGTCGCTCCACGCCTGTCAGGGGGCCGTTCTGCTCTGCGATGCGGTGCAAGGCAGAACGCCCTTTGGGGCGAGTTTGGTTTAGGCTTCTTCTAATGCATCGGCTGGAGTAAGAGCCCATCAAGGACTTTGTTCTCCATTTCCTCAACAAACTTTCATTTCCTAGCAAACTTTCGTTGCAGCACTAGCCGCTTTGCACGACTTGGAGAAGTGGTCAGCTGAAGCCCCGGCTCAGAGCAGACAGCTGCTTGGGTGATGTTCTTCACGGGCAACGGCCAAAGAAGCAACTCTTACTGACCGTCTCCTCATATTGCATGTCCTCACCCTGAACACTACAGCCCAGAATGCAGATCGGCTAAAAGGAAGTATGCATATCAAGGGCAGTGGCCTTTTTTTCCCCCAATCGATTTAATATGGAGCAGAAGGCGCTTGGGCTGACAAAGCCTCAGGGCCTGGGGACTGATGTAGATCTTCACTTCGCATCTACAGATCCTGTATCGAACATCCGGCAACTCAAGACTTAAAGACCGAAGCCCAGAGCATCCCAAAAGCCGCCGTGGCCCTTTCGCCTGAGACGCCAAACCTCTCCAGAGAGAGAGCAGCTCTGTGCGCCTTTGAGAGGCATCCAGGCCCAGACCGTCTCGACTTTCCACCAGGCAGGAAGCCGTTGGTTGAATTTCCGGACAACTAACCGTGACACATGCTTCCAATGAGGGAGGTCAAGCACACAGCTGCCCGTGCATGTGATGTGATGGTGATTTCATAATGCCTGTGTCAATTCTTGGGCTGTTTTGGTTAATGTGTCCGTGCGCTGGCATGTGAAGGAGTTTGCTAGGTGCTGCATTCCGGTATACAAGGCCGCATGGAAACACGAAATCTCTCTGTCTCTCTGTCTTTCAATCTCTCAATCTCCCTGTCTCTCAATCTCTTCGTTTCTCTGTCCCCCTCCCTCCCTCCCTCGCTCCCTCCCTCCCTCCCTCGCTCCCTCCCTCCCTCCCTCCCTCCCTCTCTCTCTCTCTCTCTCTTTCTCTCTCTCTCTCTCTCTCTCTCTCTCTCTCGCTCTCGCTTTTCCCACACGACACCCTACAGCTGTCCGTAAACCTTCACCCCAGACCCCGAAACCCTTCAACCCAAGCCCCAGTTAGGCCTCCCCGCTTCCTACAAGGCCTTCGAAGCAGACCTGGAGGTGCTCTGCGCCCTGAGCAAGGCTCCAGAGTAAAGTGGGTCCCAAACTCAAGGACGAACACTTTGTGTGGGGCTTCTCGGATTCAGGACTGTAGGTTTGGATTTGAGCTTGGGCATTGCAGCTTCAGGGTTGAGGGCCTGTGCCAGATTTATGGCAAAACCCCACATGGTTAATCGTCAACCTCGGCACTCTCGGAAAGTTTTGTCTTGAGAATCAGAGTCCCGATCAACTCTTTATTCGAACACAATTCCTCCTTCTCACTCGCAATCCTAATGTCTACAGCTTTTTGTACTAACACGACACGACAGTGCACCATGCCATCCAAAACTCTTTCTGGAATTGCTCTAGTAGCCTCACAGGCCTGCTGCTGGCTTAAACTGTCTGAACGCTGTCGTAAAGCTTCAAGTCCAAGAGGCTCTGTCTTTGGGGCTCTGTTGGCCTGGCATGCCAGAAAGCTTACTTGGAGGTTCATGGATAGTGATAAGTGGGGTTATAAGTAGGCTAAGTAGGGTAACCATAATACCCATATTAGGGGCTCTATAACTCCACTTATATATACCCATGAACCTCCAAGTACAGGTTGCATTATCGGAAAGTGCAGTTGCCGAGCACCTGGTTATCTAAATTGTAAATCTTCAGCGATCTTCTCAAGTCCCGCGGATTTCTTCACTTCCTGCAGGTAGACCTGGACCATGCGCAGAAGGAGGAGGTCAAACGACTCTTGGTTTATGGCTGCGAGTTTCTGGTCTGAATGCCCCTGCGCTCACCTGGCCCTGCAAAACTATCCTTGCCATGCAGCCTGTACCACGTTAAGGCTTTGGATTTCATGGTCTTCTGCTCGTTCCCAAATTCCCCAAAAACCTAAGTTTTGTTTGTGGTCTTCGTACCAGCGTTGAGCTCTTCTAGGAGCACTGTCGCCTGAAAGTCTGTGGGCTGAGGGCAGATGTCCGTCCTGACGGGAGTCTCCACGGACGAAGTTCTGGAGGCTCACTTACGGGTGCTTGCGCGCAGGCTTTCGAGGCTTAGGCTTAGGGTCAGGCAAAACCCGCGAGACTGAAGCCCAATAATCCACCAGATTGGGCCTTGCCTACAGCATCGCGTTCGAGCTTCGTGGAAGATTTTGTGGTCAGATTTTATTGAATGTTGGCACGTTTGAGCTTGCGGCGACACGTCAGGGTTAGAACTCGGGCCTATCTGCGTGTAAGGTTGCAGTATGGGAGTCTCAGAAAGTGCGAGGCCCCAAGTACAAACCCTAAGCAGTAGGATTCTAAATAGAAGAACCCTTAAACCGAAAGGCACTGTCAATTCTAAGACAGCCTCTCAAACCCTCACAAAACCCCAAGGCTAAAACACTTTTGAAGAGGCCCAAGACAACCCGAAGCCGACAGGTAAGCGGCAAGACAGGACAAGGTGTTCCGAGTTTGCTGGAGGCCTGGCTTTTGCAGCCGAAGCTTGAAGATTTTCAGCGCGAGGAGTGTGTTTGACGCTTCAACACATTGGGGTTTAGGTGCTGAGGGAATATGAATATGAATAGGGTGGGGGGTGGAAGTAGGGTTTGTCATGTTCTTTGTTTCAGCTTCAGGGCTTTGCGTGTCTCTACCGCAAACATCGAATTGCCTTGTGTCAAACTTTGTGAACGTTGACGGGAGCCTGAGCAGAAAATGGATATCGGAATAGTCTTCGACACCGTCGGCAGGCCATCATCCACAAGGTGCCTCCTCCCAGAGGCCCCGCAGAATAGGGCAGCACTTGTCTTTCGAAGATTGCAATTTAATTACGGGTTCGGGGGTCAAGGACCAGCCGCAGTTTTCAACCCAAGCGGGGCATGTCTGCATGTCACGAGACTGGTGGAAGAGGTGTCATGCCCCTTGCAAAGGTTCATAGCAATGGGGTATGTCGAAGGGTCCTCGACGATCTGGGCCACTTGTCTGTGCCCCAACCCTCAGCACGAAAGCACGGTGACTTGCACCCAAACCCAAAACCTCTACCCTGTAACCCTGGACTCGCAGCCCGCAGTAGGCCCCATAGTTGTGACATGAGACCACCCTGAAACCTCGCTCGGTTCCTCTGTGGTCCAGGCAAAGCGCAAGCACCTTTCAAAGCCCTGCTCTTCGATGCCTACTACGACAGCTTCTTGGACTTCTGGGTTTCTAGGGTTCTAACTTAGGGCAGGTGCAGCGTTCACGGCTTGGATGAGTTGGTTACTGTATCCACCCCGCTTCCCAAGCTGCTTCCACCTCTTGGGCGATGCTAGCTTCGGGCAATAGACACATGCCTTACGCCGCTGCAGGGTCGTCTTGCAAAACACAGGTATAGAACCAAGAACCCCAAGCACTAATGGCATTATTAAATCGTCGAAGTTTGTGAGACACGCTGGCTGTTCTTGGGCGACCCTGCAGATTCAGGCGTCGCGGTCGTCCTGGTCGTCTTGGCCCGTCGTTGTCGTCGTTTGTTCCTGTGGTCGTGGTAGCGTTTGGCATGCTTTAGTTGCTATTCTTGTTGATGCCCTGTTTCTCCCACGCACACTTCTTCATGTTGTCCTGTCATGTTCTGTATGGTCACCAGTACGATCGTTAAGTTTTTGTTGTGATGTTGATGATGCTTGCTGCTATTGTGAGCTCGGGCCTTGACTCCAGTTCGCAGCACATTTGCTCATCATCGTCCTGATCAATTGCATCGTCCTCATCTCTGCATCGCCCTCACCACGGTCACCATCATCACCGCTATCATCGTCGTCACCGCCGTCATCATCACCGTCATCATCAAAGACGTCAGCTCCAGTGTGTCTGTCATCATGCTGATCATCAGCACCACCAAGCTTCTGATTACTAGCACGTGTGTGATGTCGCGGCACGCGTTGATGCATTAGAAGTCCGTGCATGCCCTGGTTGGTTCTGGATGCATCAGCCACCCTCCTCAGCTCCAAACTCTAAGCCTGAAAGGCCTACACTCGAAGCCCTGTGCCAACTAAAGCACTCCCCGAAGCCAGAGCAAGCCTGAGGTCGGCGCGGCATGGTGTTGCTGATTGCGATCGAAGATGGGGAGCTGAAGAAAGGCAGCAAGATCCACTGCTCCTTGGCCCGCAGGGGATAGGTGAAGCAATCGAGGTCTAAGGATTCGAAGGAGGGTTTGGGGTTTCGTGTTTCCACTGTTAAAGTTTCAGGACTCCGGGTTTCAATAACCCTAAAGCCTAATTGGCGCAGCAAAACCCTAAGCCCTCAGCTCCGAACTCCCAAACTTAAACCACCAAACCCTCAACCCTCTTCCGGGGTGTTCGTACGCGACGTTCAAAAAGCAACTGCCACTCCAGCTCATGATGCGAGGCTCCTACAGTGGGAGGGTCCACGTCGCCATGGCAGCTTGGTTGATTACATCGGAGTATTTGTAGTCTCATGCGGCTCATAGGAATTTGATAGGGCTCCGTTGAGGCTTTACAAGGCATTTTGGCGACTCTGTGAGGGTCTTGGGCAAGGATAGGTGTATTCATGAAGTTTAGGGCTTCTTTTCGTGCTCAGACTTTAGGTTTAGGTGGTGACGGCTCCCGACTCGTTCGCGGGATGAAGGTGGTGCAAGATATATATATATATATATATATATATATATATATATCTGTATATGTACATATATATATATATAAAGTTAGGTAGACAGGTTGATGGATGATGGATGCATGGCTGCTAGTGACGAAGGCTCTTGGGTTGGCCAAACAGCAAGGCTGGCCGCGACGGAACACCTTCCTAAGTCCTAAGCGGATCCTTCTCCCTAAGCTCCCAAAACCCACGCCGGCCAGCCAGAAGTCTGGCACATCGTGCGGCACATCTGAGGATATTGGCCTCCTCTACCCCGACCTCTGCTCTGTGGACAACCTGCGCAGCGGCCAGATCGGCTTCATCGTCGTGGGTGCGAAGGAGCCGCTGACAGCCCAAACTGAGTTGAAGCCCCGAGGCCCTAATCGCAAACTGCAAACCTTCCCAAGCAGCCCAAGATCCAAGATTTGTTCCCTTAGTCCCACCAAGCCTATGGTGAGGATCCTTTGAACCCTAAGTCCCGTACAGCCTCTGATGAAGTCGACAGAAACTGGGAGCTGCCTGGCATCTGCATCGAAATCAGTCACTCCTTCGCCCAATGTACAAAAGAGCATAGTGATGAATGACGCCAGCTATGCAAACCGACATCATTGTCGGGAGGGGGAGGGACCACTTCCGGAGAGGACATTCGCAGCTTCCGCGTGGGCGAGACAGTCTGGCAGGAAGGCATGGCCCAAGAGATTCGGGTCGAGGGACTTTGGGCCTTTACTGCCGAATTTTTCGCGGTTTCCGGACAAGGCAGTCAGGATGTCGTAGGGCCTGTTTCAACTGAAGGAGCTTATCTCTTTAGGGCTCTAATTATTCAGTAGGCTCTTTCTGCGTCTCCTTGGAAAGGTGGAGAGAAGTCCGGGCAGCCCTTCCCTGGATTCAAGCCCGCTCATCCTATGGTCTATGCCGGGATCTTCCCGGAGGACCCGACGTCTCTTTGCGGGGTGCGTTGGAGTACATGTGGTTGATGTTGAGACTTGTCGATGAGCTTGTTCTTCTTTGGGTTGTTGGCTTCTAGTCAGTGTCGAAGTGGGATCTCAGCTTGTCTTAGCCCATGACAGCTACTGCTATTGCTCCGATTGCAGCAGGTGATTCTCCACTTCACGACCCGATACCGGTAAACCTACGACCCTGTTTCAGGCCGTAAGCGATGGCGAGAAGCTGGAGACAGCGATGCAGCGTCTACTCCTCACGGATGCCTCCGTGGAGGTCGCGCAGCCCCAACACCTAAAAGATGAAAAACCCTTAGGCTGCGAGCCATCAATGCTTGGCACCAAACCGTAACAGAATATGAAAACGGTCCAACTCCCCACACCATAAACTTAAGCGTTCCGCACTCTCCGGATCATGGCTGCTCCGAGCCTTGGAGTTTCGGGTCGCCGGAAGTAGACTTTGGTGGTGTGGGCCCAAGTACGCACTCAAACCGCCAAGAGAAAGCCCCAAGCCCCGCACCCTAAAGCCTAAAGCTTTCGAGAAGCTGCAGTCATGAATCTTAAAACCCTAAGTGTACCTCAGCCGCTAATAATAACATAATCTCTGAACTAGGAGACGAGCCTTCTTTACCCCTATATTATGTGACCCAAGAACCTCCCTGAAGCCCTGAGCCCCAAGCTGAGACGCAGAGGCGCGCCGGGATATCTCTCCGGTCCTCGGCTCTGGGTACAGGCTGGAGCTCCGTGCTACTGTTCATCTCTGAATCTCCAAATTATGGTCCCTTTTTGGGGCCCTCATTACTAATACGGCACCTATTATTTCAGGTACCTAAAAAGGGATCCTAATTTTGACAACTACCGAATCCCGATGCCCTAAACTCCGAATCTCTAACCCTGGGTCACTGCGGGATTAGGAGGAAGGGAGCCTAGCGAAAGAGGAGAACCTCTTGGTCTTCTACACCCTAAACCCAAAATAATCCCAAACTGGGGACCTGGGAGCCACTGCTGGGCCCAACTTAGGAGCGGCCGGGATACTCAAATATCTCAATCCCCGTCTAGCCCTTCTATACCTTTGGTACATTGTATCACGAAACCCTAACCTTACTCTAGCTATTCAGGCCACCATATCACCCTAAACCCTAAAAGCCTTAACCCCATCTGAGGCGCGCTGAAGCCCCCAAGAGTTCCCCCAAATGCTCAGATGCGGCTTCCTGGGCCTCCTCCACCTGGACGTTTTCCGACAGCGCCTGTCGAGGGAGTATGGCGGCCCGTCCTGTTCTACGGGTTTGGGGCTTCAGATTAAAGGCTTTTAGTTTATTTTTTTTTGAGGGGGGCGGGAGGTGTAGGGTTTCAGGCCGTGAGGGATGAGGCGACCACATCCATTTCTGCAGGGAGACGCTCGGGCGATTGACAGACTGCGAGCCCTGATGCTTTCGGACCCTGAATCCTCACAGGCGCGAGCTGCCTTTCAACCACCCATTCCAAGCCCAAAGCAACGCATAAGACGTGGCATTGAGCCCTTTGGCCCAGGTGTGGATGTCCTGGCAACATCGCCGACGGTTCCCTACCACCTCCTTTTGTCCAACGGCAAGCAGGCACCGCCACCGAACCGAAAGCCTGTTGAAGCTTCGTGGCGCCAGGCGAAGCCTCCGAGGCTAGAGATACCCTTTCGAAGGCTTGATCATTTATCAGCCTTGCTCACGACTCACCTACCTACACCACCAACGGTAAGTCACACGTATTTTCGGTTGTCAAGAGTCATCGGTGGTGCCGGTGCCGAAGCCGATTTTGCTGACAATGATGACGGTGGCTTTAGAGACGAAGATCATGCCATTGCCACTGTTGCTGTTGCTGATCGTGGCGAACTGGCAGGTGGTGGTGGAGCATGCGGGAGATTTCCCGACTCCACCGGCGATGCCCCCGAAGGAGGTTGAGGTGCCTTCGTTTCAGCTACTGCGCAGACCATGCGAAGGGGCACTTCGCTTCCCAAGCCCCCCAAACATCGTAGAAGCGGCAGCCCGAGAGGAGCCCTTGGTGATTGCCACCATTGCTGTAGCCTGAGATTTGCAGGAAGGGGTTCAGATCGGATGGCTTTGGGCTCGAGATCCTTTGCTGTCGTAGTGATATAATCAGCACGTGTTTTCCAACGATGGCTCCATGCATCTTCCAAGTGCCCGGTGAATGAATAATGAAGCTAAAGCCGAGATCCTTTCCTCTTGAGAACCTAGCTAGCAACAAAGCCACGAAACTCTACGCACTCCCCAAAAACAACAAACACCTCGACACCCTGCACACAGAATGTGCACTGAATCCTCCACTCTGAACTCCTAAACCATTCCAGTCAGGTCTTGCCTCGAGAACTGACGCCCGGCATCCAGCAGCTCTGCATCGAGCGTCGTGGAGAGGACCGAAGAAACCCGAAACCGGCAAGACAAAGGGTAGCAACGATGATGTCAGCAACGAACCCATGGCCGTAATTGAAATTACGCGCAGAAGGGCCCTCGCCTCCTCCGCTTCCTCCTCCGCTTTCTCCGCCGCTTCCTCCTCCGCCTCCCCGACGGCCGACCGAGACTATACCACTATCACTACCACTTCCATTGCAGCTGCTTCTGCTGCTGCTTCTTCTCCTTCTTCTTCTTTCGGCTTTCACACGCCAGAGCAGTGCCCATAGTTCATGTCGTCTAAGAGCAGTCCAGTCCTCCGCGCCTCCGCTCTTGCCCCTGAGGAGCTCTCAGCCTGGGCCTTAGAACTCAGCTCCTGCTGCTGGCGGTCTGCGACTCTGTCCGCGCCCTGAACCGGATACTTAAAGGATCATGGGACTTAGTAACGAGGAATATAGTTAGGGTAACTATACTTATAACCCAAATTAAGGGGCCTACAACCCTACTTATAACTACCCATGAACCTCCAAGTAGCTTCATCCCCAACGATCTAGACACTAGACTACTACACGCAAGAAGCAGAACTCCAAGGCCTAAACCCTGAGCGCCAAACTCTAAACCCCCGCTGAGTATATCCTATACCCTGAAACCCGCCTCGAGCGGCAAGCCCCGATTCTACCGAGACATGATGTCTCCTGAGGTGGAGCCCTTGGACAATGCTGGCGAGCGCATCCTCATGAAGTGGAGGCGGGCCGTGAAACCCAAGCGCGATTTGGAACATAGTAGGAGCCTCAGGTCTGGGCACGCTACCACGTATGCAGAAATGACAGGCATTAGTCACGGCATGGCCGCGCAGAGATATAGCTCCAAAGCCCAAACCCACTTCTGACTATTCCCAGCATCAGCCAATTCATCTCCCGAGCGTTCCACTGCATCGCAGGCTACCCCTTGCGGAGGCGGGTTTTGCACGTCAGGGAGTTTGGAGCACTCCAGCAATCATCGATATGACAGGATCTAGATTCATCTGTTTTGGAGTGCTACATGTACCCGTACCTATGTGTCTTTCTCCCTGTGTATATATGTATGGCTATCTGTGTCTCTGCCCGTCTGCTTTTCTCTGTCCGTCTGGCCGTCTGCTTGTCTGCATGGATGTTTACCTGCTCTGCTTCGCATGCCTGCTCTGTTCCACCGTATCGAGGCCACCTCTCCGAGATGTGAGCTTTTATAGGCCTTATAAATGTTGCGCGGGTTTCCCAACCATGGCCTGCAGGTCATCACGGACTTCTTCGACAAGCTTCAGGCAACGTCTGAGAACACGGAGACACCTTCCGAACCATGTCTGGCTTCTCGAGCCTGATGGATCAGTCTTCCTGACACTGCATCATGTCATGGTCTATTGGGGTTCTCCAGGGTTGGTTCTTCGTGAGGTTCATAGGGCTTACACTATAGAGGCCCAAACAATGACCTATCCTACTTTGGGAGTTCCTTATTGTGATCATAGTACAATGGGCCCGGAAGCCCAATTCGAATTATAAAGGCCCCAAAACAAACCCCTTATAGTAGCCCTTATAGTAACCCTTACAGACCCTGTACAAGAACCCTGTAAGGGAACCCTCTAATGATTCAGGCCCCCATACTAAACCCTTATAACAGCCCTTATAGTAAGCTTATAGACCCCTTTTCGGGGAACCCCGATTCGAATTACGAAGGCCCCTGCAGTATGCATTTTTTTGCGCAGGCTCTGAGCCATGGCTTCGCGAGCTTCGACTACCAGCCCGCGGGCTACCAGCCGGTGCCGGCACTCGGCACGTTTTCCGTCGGTTCTCTGGGTTCGTGGTTAAGGAGCTTAGCTCCCACAACACAGAAGGCTTCTTCTTCTTCTTCTTCGTATTTTGTTCTGTTAAGGCAAAATCCCTATTCCTTCGCAACAACCCAGCATTTTGAAAGATGCCTCAGCTGCTCTTTTCCCTGCTGTTTGGGTGATTTCCCGAGGTTGACCTGGTGAAGGCCGGCGCCACGGTCCAGCCTCTTTGTCTGCCAGTGTGTTTGTATTAATGTCTCGAACCCAAGATCTTGGGAAGGTCGGCGTCCGCCTGAACAACGAGCACGTGGACGCCCTAAGCTTCTTCGCCTTGCGTGCGAAAGCTCCAGAGGCGAGCTCGGGACGCACACAATGTACGGGCCGGTACACTTGGCAAGCTATTTTAGGGTTGCTTATGCTGACAGCGGTGTAAAATGCCTCGGTTGGGTGTGCTTCGGTAGCAGGTGTCGCGAAAGTACCTGGAGAAGCTGGAGAAAGTCATCCCGGCGTAGCGCGGCTGTGAGTTTGAGAAGGGAAGCTCTTGCAGAGCCGTCTCGACCCTACTGGTCTACCCCCCTATATCAGCCTGAAGAAGGCGTACCGTCGGAAGTTCGCTGACACGGCTGCAACCTCGTCAAGCCCTGCTTCGCTGCGTCAGGCAACTCTTCGACATCGGCATCCAGGCCGTCGTCGGAGGAAAAGTCGTGGCGAAGGCTGGTTAATTCTGTTTAGCATGATGCCACTTGTGACCTGTCACATCGCAACTGTTGGTTCCATGCGATCCGTGCGATGACTTTCCAGTAATGGGGCGGGTGCTTCGAAACCCGGTGAGGTCACCTTCGGATCCAGTGTCAGCAATGCCCAGTTGTCCCGCTGCACTAGCCAGGTACGCATCAAGCCAATCAGAAAGGACAGCAGGGCTTGAACGGTGCATGGGAAGCAAGATCGCTGCGACTATCCTTGACATGCTTTGAGACAGTTGTCAGCGGAAGTAGGAACCATCCTTAAAAAGGCTCCACTACCCGAACACCCTAAACCCTTCACACTTGTCCCTACTTAACTTTAGAAAACGACAACATGTAAAACCCAAGCAAACTACGATAACGATCCTAGAACAACCCTAAGCCCCAACCGCCCAAGTGCTCCCTTGATCTCTGGAAGTCTCAAAGCCAAATTCCCGTACCATGTCCCGTACCATGCCAGGAAAGACTAGGGCCTCCCAGATATCAGACCTTCCTGCAAGTTTATGTGCTTTTCTCAAGAACCTTGTCGGTGTGCTTTAGGTTGAGGGTTTGGTAGGATTTGAGATTTTAGACTTTGGGTTTCGTGATGGGGGCCGAGGGCGGCCCGGGTTCAAGGTTTCCTGGGATTGAGTGTTTCGGGTCTCGTCAATGCCAGCATTCGATGTTTTAGGGTTTTAGGGTTTTACCCTTTTAGGGTGTTTGGGTGTATGGTTTCAGGTTAAATTTTAAGGTTCAAGGGATTAGGGACCCTAGACGTAGAAGTTATGAGTCGGTGCAAGTTTTGCTGCTGGTGGCAGCGACAGTTGGCATGCACACAGCCAACATACTAAAAGCGGCATGCAAGAAAATAGAAGCATGATAGCGCGGATAAATCCCAAAGGAGACAGAAAGGACTTCAGCGGCCATGAGAAGTAGGGCATAGCCAATCCTCAACCCGAAACCCTTAAACCCTGAACCGAACGAAACCCTAAACCCCAAACCCCAAAACCATAAACCCCAAACCCTAAAAGCGGCCCAGGACGTCGTGGCACAGAAGATCCTAAGCCACGGCCACAGCGGGGACCCCTCGCGCAAGGCGAAGCTCCTGGAGAGGCGGGGAGAGACCAACCAGAGCTCGGAGAGGGGGTTTCGGGCGTAGGGTTTAGGGTTTAGGGTTTCGGTTTTGCGGAAAGCCTAGTTTTTGGGACTATTGTAATTTATGGTGCTTTTTGCGGCGATCGTTATGGTTGTCGGGATCTTCGTCACCGCTTCGCCATAACAAGTCTACTGAGTGGAAGACAGCACGTAGTAGTACGAAGTATCAAGGAAGACGTTGTAGTACGTAGCAGTATGGAGTAGTAGACAGTTGTGAGTAGTGGTACGCAGTAGAAGAAGTAGTAGTAGCAGTAGCAGTAGCAGTAGCAGTAGCAGTAGCAGTAGCAGTAGCAGTAGCAGTAGCAGTAGCAGTAGCAGTAGCAGTAGCAGTAGTAGTAGTAGTAGTAGTAGTAGTAGTAGTAGTAGTAGTAGTAGTACTTAGCAGTAGTAGTTACGAAGAAGAAGATGATGATGATGAGGAGGAGGAGGAGGAGGACTGGCCGCTGCAGCAGCAGTGGCAGTAGGTAGGTAGGTAGGTAGGTAGGTAGGTATGGAAGTAGTGTCAGTGGCAGTGGAAGTGGGAGTGGCAGCAGTGGCAGTAGTTGCAATAGTAGTGGCAGGAGCGGCAGTAACAGCAGTAGCCGCGTAGCAGCAGTAGTAGCAGAGACACTAGCAGTATTAGCAGGGCTGACGAGCAGCAGTTCTGTCGCAAACACCTGCACGTCTTCGGCCCTGGCGAGGCAAAAAGAAGGGAAGAAGCGACTTCGCGAGATTGCCAAAGTCCAAGTCCCTCCAGAGGCCAGCATGGAGTCTAATGCGTGACAGACCTCACCTCTGAACCCCGATGCCCTTCACCCTAAGCTCATCTTAAGTTCAGAAATCTGAATGTCTCTGTCAGGTTTCCAGTGGCTGCAGCACACAGATAGTTGGATGGATTAGAATTCTCCGAATCCTCTGTTCATTGTGGCCCCTCGTCCACGAAACGAGAGTGAAACTCCCACACGCCCCAGCCTACACCATGAAGTGACTCGCGTGAGGCCTTCGTCGCGATGGTCAAGATGTGACGACTCAGCTTGGTTGATAAGCCCACACTTTTCGTTCAGCCTTCGCCCAAAGCAGGCGGGAGTTCTGTGGCTCGGATGTTGCCCAGCCGTGATCATTGTGAGGGATCCTTCATCTCCCCCAAAAAAGTTTCTCATGCCTCATCAGAGGACTGCACTCTGAGTCGCAAGGCAAGGCTCGAACCAGTTTTCCTTTAGCCAGAGGCTGCAGCTTTTGCAGCCCCTCGAAGCTGGGGCAAGCAAAGTTGGCTCTTGTCCCACTATCGCTTGGGCTTGAGAGGAAAACCTTCGCTGTGAAATGTTCTGAGCTCGAGGCCTCCTGAACCAGAAGCTCCAAAGGCTTTATCGGTGCATCATCAGATCAGAAGCCCCTGTTCCAGACTCAAGACCCTGACGTTGTGGATTCAAAGCAAGGCTGAGGAACTTAGCTCCCATCTCCCATCCAGTATACTGTGCAAAATCTGGACGAACCGTTGATCTGCCAGCCGCCGCCTACACCCTACATTAGGCTTTCGTGCAGCCTACGGCACGTCATCGTTAAAGGACTTCCTGGCCATGGGGCATCCCCAGCTGCTGGCAGCGAGACGACTTCGGGGACTCGCAGGATGAGATCAGAGTCAGATGTCCCTTGCGAGAGCACGAACTTTGAATCTTAACTGCACTACATGTCCCATGCCACTCCGCAGGCGCTTAGCCCTAGGACCCCCAAAACGCGCTAACCCTTTACCCTAAAACCACCAAAACCCGACACCCAAAGTGCTGAAACCACAAATCCATGAACTGTTGTCCCCAGGAGTTGAGCCCATGCTCCGAGGGACGAGGCCTGACTGCCAACCAGGGCCTTGGGAAGTGCATCTTGCTGTGCTACTGTGCGCATAACGTATGCACGTCTACCTACCTATTCATTTCTTTAGCCTCCCTCCCTCCATCCGTCCATCCACCCATCAGTCCCTCCGTCTGTCTGTCTGTCTGTCTGTCTGTCTGTCTGTTTGCTTTGACTCGGCCGTCGCTATAAGTGGAGATCTTCTAAACAGAAATCCTTCGCATGGCTGCGGATTTTCGGATGTAGGATCTAGGCTTTGGTAGGGCCAGGCCTTCCCTCCCGCTATGCAGTGCATCACAAAAGGTCACCTGATAGTGCTAGTACGCAGAACGTTGCCCTTGCTGGGGTGCGGAATATTCAGCTACTTCTGTCGTTCCTATGCCGATGGTTTGTGATAAGTAGATCATAGATCTGATGACCCTGGTTATCTACGAGGCTCCGTGTAAGCTTTTGGCCTTCGGACTCTTTGCGACCTGTGCTGTGCTCGCCGTCGCCGTTTCAGCTGGGCCCGTTTGCGAGGAGTTTGGGTGCCCCTTCGCCCTGCTCGCAAAATGTGGCCGCATGGAGGCCATGCCTGGATCCTTTTACATCTTGTATCTCCTGCCATACCCCATACTTTGCGTCTACTCGACTCGGTTGCCAGCCGTGTTTGCAGGCTGGGGCTGGTCATGGTGGTACCAGGATAACGAATCCTGGCGATGGCGAGGTCGGCCCGGCAGTTCTTTCTGTGTGGGATCGTTGCGCGGGTTCGGAGCTATGCCATGATTCCGGCATATGAGTAGTCTCCGCGCTGTTGCACTCAGGGGATAAGTCTGGACTTGTACTCCGAGTTGGCCTTCGACCGAATGATGCCTGTTTGTCCATGCTCGGACTTCTTCTCCATGTCCTGGCAATGTAGCTAGGAGCTTCAACTGAAAAGTTTTTTGTGTTTTGCTCTGTGCTGGCGCGAGGACGGCGACAGCGGAAAAAGCCAGTTCCGCCAGCGCAAGGCAGCGAAGTGGAAACTCTTGTCAGTAGAATTTGTCCCGACGACGGACGGTGTCACCCAGTGTGGTGTTGTGCGTGGGTAGTCGCCTTCAGCGTAAATGCAAGTTTGCTGCTTTATTTCAAGCCTTCTTCACTGCCTTCCAGGGGGCTCACCCCAGGGGCAGCCATGTGTTACAAATGCAAGAGCCAGCCTGTGGCTCAGCTGTGATGGCAGCTCACTCAGCACTCTTGCGCCTGTGCTGTTGACTTGAGATCTGGAAGCTGAGGCCAAAGCCCGGCTCGCGACCACACAGGCTCATTGGAGGGGGGTGCCTTTATTGGTGGGGACAACATACAGAGCAGTCCAAGGCACCAGAGCTGCGAAGGACTTTGGCAACCATGCCTATTTTGTAGTATCCGCAAGCATTCTCCTTAAACTTTTCTGGCACCCTGCTTGGAAGGTCCGCAAAACATAACTTTAAAGCTTTGCGTTGCTTTTCAGGGTCGAGAGTCGGTCCTTCCCACAATCTTGCAAGAGCTTTCTTATACCGTGTGCACCTCGCGAGTGTGGTCATTTTGGAAAGGCTTGTACCTGCAATGCTGAGATGGTCACAATCTCGTCAGACCCTACACCCTGCATTCCAAGAGGAGGACAGAAGCTCACCCACTCACTCTCCCAACGGTGTATACAGCAGCCGAAGGGTTGCGGCCTGGGTAATGAACGGACTCTCTCTCGTGCTGTCCTCCCAGCAGATTTTGCACTGCTCCTCCCATTTCTCTCCGCCCATCCCCACCGGCCACTTCCAAGGCTGCGGAGCCCTCGGCCGCTCGCCAGGGCAAGTCGGACAAGTCGTTTGCGCAGGCGCCAAGCTCATTTTTCGTGGACATTTGTGGTTGCATGTCATGTGCAATCAAAAATTGGACTTGCCAGGGTTGTTGGTACAGACAAAAACAGCAGCCCGTACTTGTTGTTAATTAGAAGCAATTGGGAATGCTTCCGGCAACCGCCTCGGGTGCCTGTAGAGCTTTGGGAAGTGCAAGCCATGGTTTACACAGCAATTGCCCCATGATAGGAATGCGGTGTAGGCTGGGTCGTTGTTGTAAAAAGGGGGGTCAAAACAACAGACGGGGTTCCAGTTTTTGCTTCTACTACAATCAGCCGTCTAGAGCTTTTATGCTTTGAGGATGTTGGTAGCTTGCCGACGGTATACCATTCCGCAATATTCTAGGATGTCAGGGGCACAGTGTGCATGACAACTGCATAGATGCAAGTTTAATGCCTTTCTTTAAGCCTTCTTCATCGTTCTTCACTGCCTTCCAGGTGAACCGCCAATTCGGGCGGCGGCGATCTCTGCCAATGCCCGAGCCGGCGCTGAAGGTGCACTGTTCGAGTGCACTTGAAGAGCTCAGGGGTTGAGGGCTTTTGGCTTTACCGGGACTAAGTGGGCCTGTGCACCAAAGCTCCAGACCAGCACTCTAACCCTTGTAGTAAACCCCCCTATTGCCTGTAGATCCCTTAAGCCCATGGAGCAGGGCTTGCTGCGGCCCTCGTGCCGCTCCTCCATTCCTTCAACACCGCCATCGGCGCGACCTCCCTCAGTGCCTTTGTCAGGAGCCAGGGTTCTGACTGGGGCCGCGGCTTAGCCTTCGGGCTCAGGTCAAAGCCTAAATTTAAGGGATCTTTAGGGTTGAAGGGCAAGAACATTCGGTTGCTTTCGTATTCCTCTGCCCTCAAAGTGTGCGTAGGCCTCGGATTTAGTGAGGGGTATTTGGGACTGGGGGGCAGACGTTCGAGAGCACTCACGAAACCCTTTGCAGTTGGGGAGTCTGCACGATTTGGGCTTTAGTAAACTTTAGAAAGTATGTTGAGCTCTGCAGGTTGGGTCGCTCAATTCGTTGGGGTTTGGGCATTCGACACGGCAAGTTTACTTAGCCAGAGGTTTGGGCTGATCAGTTGAGTTTCGATTTTGTGAATGTTGTCACAGTCTGCGTAGGCTGCCGCAGCAACCTCTGGGTGCCCAGAGCTTGACGAGCTTGCAGCAACCAAGTTGACAGAAGCCCAGGCCTGGAGGAGCAGAAGTGGCTGAAGCTGCAGGCGCGTCATGCGCTGTGCAGGGCCATCCTGTCGGACCAGAGACTCAGCAGCAAAAGTGCTACTGCGAATGTTGCCATCGTTGCGGTCAGCTTCGGTAGTTCGTGGCATGATGGGGTTGTAAGGTCGCATGGTACACCATCATGTCTACCTTTTCAAGCTGGCCTCCCCTTATCCTCATCATCCTCATTCCTTATCCTTAGCTTCATCCTGACCTCATCCTCGCCTTCAAATTTCACTCCTCATACCATCATCCTCATCATCATCATCATTTCCACCCTCAGCCTTCTCATGCCCTCCCTCGTTTGCCTCCCCTTCTTCCTGTACGTCCTGGTGCTTCTCCGGCTCGTGCTGCTGCCGCCACTGCTGATGTTGATGTTCTTTCTAAGTCCTTGCTATCTCCTCCTCCTCGTCCTCCTCGTCCTCCTCCTCCTACTTCTACTTCTTCTTCTTCTACTACTACTACTACTATTATTAGAATTAGTACTGCTGATCCCCATTTCCACAGAGAGGTTTTCCCCCTGCAGCCACGAGATCTTCACGTTACACATCGGAAGTAGTGCAAGCAGGGCAAGTGCGATCGTAAACCAACCTCCAGGGTTCGAGCTTTTTGAAAGATTCAACCATTCCCGGTGGCCGCTGCGTTCTGCAGGATGTGAGTATCCGCCTTACTTCTTCTGCTGCCACTACCACTGCTGCTGAAAAGCACGACCAGGACTCCTACTGCCGCAGCTGGTGCTCCTGCCGCATCCTTGTACGATGAAACTATACTGCTAATGCGACGGCAAGGGTGCTACGTTACGCCCTCCGACAATGACGACGAAGACGAGGACCCACTCCTGTTCCTGCCGTTCCTGCCACAGCAAACACTGCCACTATTATCGCACCCGCGATGACCACTTTTTTATTCTAGACATAACAGCAGTGCAGCACAGAGAAGAATATAACCTGCCCAAGGACAAGCCTCCGGCTTTGCCTCGCGCACGACTGGAAGGGCTTGACAGCCCATCTCCGTCCAATGTTCATCGAAGGCCTGAGTAAAGATGCAGGTGATGACCTTCTGTCCGGACCCCAGAGGTTATTTGGCTAGCCGCCTTTGATGCGAGCAGTCTCATGACAGCGCAGTGTCTATCGATGTCGCTCGGAGGTCGAAGGTGTACACCAGGCTTTCGGACTACCAAGCCCTGCCCCGCAACAAGGTCTGGAGGGCGGGGCAGAGTGTCTCTTGAGCTTCAGGCTTCAGGTTTGCGGACCGTGCATGCGTGGCAGGATGCCATCCTTGGCGACCTGCTGCGGGCGCACCGCGCTTGCGAGAGCTACGGCGGATCCGCTGCGCTTGGCCGCGAGACTCGGAGAAGTTGTCACATGCCTGATCTTGGGCCCAGTTCTCCTGAGGTGGAGCCGAGCTCGTGCTCGTGTCGATGATGGCGGAAGTATGGAGGCTTTCGTTGCCCATAAGGTAAGGTTGGGGGCTCTTCGATGCAAAGTGTCTAGTTGCCTTAGTCCGGGTTTGGGGTCTAGGGAGGCTTCTGGTTTGATGGTTTTGCAGCTTGTCACGGTGTAGGGATGTCAATTCTTGCAGCTTTCCGTCGTGCATTGTGCCAGCTAAGAACAAGACAGCAGGTGTGACTGGCTCAGCCAGCCGACTACTTCGGCTGTTTTGAGACTTGGCAGGTGTCGCTTCTTTTTCGTGAGTTGACTTGTTATTCTCCCATGTTCATCTCTAGGAAGCACTTCATCGCCCCCATATCCCTCAAACATGTTGTCTTGATGCTGAGTTTTGTTGTGTGCGGTCTTCGGCGCAGTGCATGTAGCCTGACTTTAGAGTTGCAGCGTGGAACCTCCTTCAGTCAGGTCGCTGAGGGCCTTGCGAGCGGCGTGGAAGCGTGTGTTAGCAGCAACAAAAGCAGTGATAGAATTCAAACAAGGTCAAGCCGGGAACCCGAAAACCCCAGGCGAAGAGAATACTGCCAGAATGGAAACCCCGCCCTCCCCCGCGCATCGTCCGCGCACCCGATATCGCGCTCCCGCCCCTTGTCCGCCTTCCCCCTGCACGCCCCGCCCCTTGTCCACCTCCTCCCCCGTGCACCGTCCGCACACCCGATATCAAGGCGCGCCCACCGTCTTCTAAAGGTCTTCCGTTAAGACAAGGCCCGATATCGCGCACCTCGCGTTTGAGCACTAAACGAGAACCCAACCGCAGAGGGGTTCGGGAAAATCACAAACACCGGAGGTCGGGGCAAGTTGCTTACAGAAGTTATCTTCGAACACATCATCACACTCATCATCACTCTCATCATCACACTCATCATCATCATCATCATCATCGCCATAATTACCATCATCACCATCATCATGCTCACGACCACCACCGCGTCATCACCAGAGTTGTCAGCAGTATCAGCATCTAAAGAAGTTGCATGAGCTGTTGAACCCAGAAAGTTTCGGAAGCTAGGAGCTAGCTAGCCCAGAACCAAAAGCTGCGAAAGGATCGGACCGCTGGATGCCACATTGAGGCGGCATGGTCTTTCTGAGGAGGCCGCTCGCCCAACCCCTAAAGACATGACCTCTTCACCGCATCCAAAGTCTCGTCCTGCGGACCACAAGCCCCACCCAACCACATGGCGGTGTGCGACAGCTTGAGGCTGCCATGCGACTCACGTGGCATCCTTAGCTTTGTTCGTTGCATTCGCGCAGACTTTACGAATGTTGGTTTTTGGTCGTCATGTCAGCTTAGGTATGGCATCCTCGCACATATTGCACCACCGGCTGCTCGGTTGGGATTCAACGGGTCCCGCAGTTTGAGAGAAGGCCTACAGATTGCTTCCAGAACTTGCTGTCCGCGGAAGGCACTGTTTCTGTCATTTCCTGCAAAACATAGCACCAGAAATTGAGCCATCATTCACCCACAGCCGCACTTGGGTCTTGTTTCAGCCTGATGAATCTTGGAGCGCGCGAGGGCGCGGAGCAGCAAGGTCTGAACTCTTTGGAATGGTCACAGGCCACAGGTTTCAGCTTTCAGTGGTTGTGTTTGTAAGCCGTCCGGGGGGGTCTATGAATTCTACGGAGCCCTGATTCTTGAAACTTGCGAGGCCTTATGATGCCTTTAAATTCACTACATCTGCTGCTCGCGATTGTCAGGTTTGGTCAGGCCTTGAGCTGAACGCCTGAGGTCTCAGGGTTTTGAAGATGTTGGCGGCTCTGTCATGTGTGTGGGATTGCTGATGCTCTCTGAAGATCTTGCAGGAACGCGAGAATTGATGCCACCTGCCCCGGAGCACATAGCAATTGAAATGAATTTCTTCTTCCAGTCAGTGGCATGAGCCTGCAAACCTTTAGAATGCCTTTAGTTGTCCTTTTGAAATCCTTTCACTTTTCATATGTCGTGCGCAAGGGCAAGTAAAACTTGACGACATTTGGAAAGCTTTCGTGCCAATCACTGGTGCATGATGCCTCGTCTCTTAGGTGCACAATCACCATGCAGATGAGTGGGCTACTTCTGATTCTGCGACTCAGCAGCAAACCTGGCTGAAGGGATGTTGTGCTGGCATGTTACAGCAATCCATCCTGAATTTTGAAGGCAGGAAGCACGACGCAACCATGTGTGTGCCAAGGATGCTTCGCCGGCCGTCGAGGTGAGCTGGTGTAGATCCACTGGTTCAGGTAGGCGTGACAGTGCAGGTGCGACAGTGCACAGGAGAAAGCATAGCTTCTCAAAGGAGTCGTGACGCCGCGGACTGATTGTGTGTAGGACTCGTCTTTGGCGGACGTTGCTGGGATGCACTTGATGCAAATACAACAATTGTGATTCATTGGGCCTATCGAATCCCTTGATTGACAGATTGCTTGCAAAATTGTGGATGTCGGATAAGCCAAGGACGGAGCGACAACACGAGAGGCCTGGTTCCGGAAGCCTGAAACCTGCTCTGAAGGAAGATCTGCAGGGAATTCTATTCTTTGAGAGGTGTCGGGGTATCGCATGCAGCAGCCTTGGAGGAGCATGTTTTTGATGCAATCGGCAAGTCTATGCTAGATAGGAGTGGATACTCTACCAGGTCCACTGACTAAGTATGGGCTACTGGATGGGTTCATGCAGAGAAAGATGTGGGAGAGCTGGAAGGGGCATCACCCCAAGCAGTCCTCAGCATCCCTGAACCTTATGGTCCAATGGCTAAGGTCAAGAAGCAACGGTTTTTTGGCAGGTTACCTGCGTACCATTGCTTTAGGGCAACATGAATTTGTTGAAAAGGCTTCGCCAGATTGGTGGGCGGCGGTTTTGCATCGCCATGGGGCGGATAGGGGCGTACATTCATAATGAAGATAACCAGACTAAGTGGTAACAATACCGAGAGTACGTCGAATTACTTGTTTATGAACACCAACAGAGACATCACCATCATGATCGAGGACAGTGCCAAAACTGATGTGCCAGCAACAGCAATGCTAACCATTCTGGTAGTACTTGCTCACAGGTCGTCGTGGCATTAACGTAAAAGGAACGACAGCCATCATTGTCCCAAAGAACTGCCTACGTTGTGCCTAGACCTGCACAGGCTACTTCTACAGCACTGCAGCACACAGCCGACGAAGGGTCAACTGGAGCTGGCCACTTCGGGAGCTGGAAGCGAGCAGTGGAGGCCCATTTGTAGCGAACCTGGCTTTTGAGATCTTTGTCTTTTGATGATGTGATGCTCTGGGCTCCAGAAAGTTTCGGGATTACATTTTGAGGAAACTGTGTCGGGTACCAAATGTTGGATCAGCAGGAAAGCTGTTCAAACAGGAAGCACGAACTGTACAATGCCCCCTCACGCATGTGTCACCTTCAACTTGCGGTGCTTGGAGACGTTTGTGCTGATGAGCAATTAGCACGGTCACGGGCGCTCCTCCAGCGGCATGTCGACAGCGGGTCTAGATTTCTACTGAGTAACTGCAGGTTGACTATTGTGTCAATCGGAAATGTTGAGCTTGACATTACTTCTTACAACATCCTCTTCCTACAAGAATGCAGTTGGTGGGATGCGCGTGTGTGTGGGTGATTTTTTCCGTGAGAAACAACTTCTGGTGTTGGCACTCCGAGTATGCTCAGTGGAACAATGCGATGGCGGGCACTCTGGAAATACTCGGCGACATACTTTATGGGTCTGACATGTGCAGGCTACTTCCACAAGGCTGCCGCAAACAGCAGACGAAGCGTCAACTGGAGTTGGCTGCCTTCGGAGCTGCGAGCGAGCAGCTGAGGCCGATTTGCTACGAACCTGGCTTTTCAGATCCTTGTGATGATGTGATGTTTTGTGCCCCAGAGAGTTCCGGGATTAGTTTCTGAGGAACCTGTGGCGGGTACCAACATCAAGTATTGAATCAGAGGGAAAGGTTCAAGCAGGAAGCACGAACTGTGCAACGCCCCATGATGCAAGTGTCACTTCTAGTTTTTGGGCTGTTGGACACTGTCTGTGCTGATGAGCGGCGAACACAGTCACGGCCGCTCCTCCAGCGGCATGTCGTCTCCGACAGCAAATTTAGATTTCTGCTCTGCTCAGTAGCTGCAGGTTGAGAGGCGTGTAAAGTGAACATGCTGAGCTTGACATTATTTCTTCGAACATCCCCATCCTAAAAGAATGCAGTTGGTGGGATACTCGTGTGTGGGTGATCTTTTGCCATGAAAAAACAACTTGCGGGGTCGGCACTCCGAGTATGCTCGACGGAGCAACGCGAGGGCAGGCACTGTGGACATGCTCGGCGAGATACTTTTTTGCGGTGGGCAGACCGTAGACATGCGCAGGCTACTTCTACAACGCTGCGGCAAGCAGCAGACGAGTCAACTGGAGTTGGCTACGCGCAGACCGCTGAGGCCGATTTGCTCCGAACCTGGCTTTGGTGATCCGTTGTTGTTGTTGTTGTTGCTGTTGCTGCTGCTGTTGCTGCTGCTGTTGCTGTTGCTGCTGTTGCTGCTGTTGCTGCTGTTGCTGCTGCTGCTGTTGCTGCTGTTGCTGCTGCTGCTGCTGCTGCTGCTGTTGCTGTTGCTGCTGCTGGCGATGCTGTTGCCGTTGCTTTTCTTGCTGCTGCTGCTGCTGCTGTTGCTGTATGCGTGGAGTATCGTGGAGTCCGCTCGCTCAGCGTCCAATTGACAGTTGCTGTTACAGTAGTTGCCGTCGCTTCTGTTGCTGCTGTTGCTGTTGCCGTTGCTGTATGCATGGAGTGTCGCCCGCAGCGGCCAATCGAAAATTGCTGTTGCTGTTGCTGCTGTTGCAGCTGCTGACGGTATTGTTGCCGTTGCTTTTGTTGCTGCTGCTGTTTAGCTGCTGTTACTCTTGTTCTTGTTCTTGCTCTTGCCGTCGCAGTTGCAGTTGCTGTTGCTCTTGCTGTTGCTGGTGCTGTTAGTGTAGCCGTTGCTGTTTGTTGTCGTTGCAGTTGCTGCTGTTGCTGTGGTTGTTTTGGTTATTTTGGCTGTTGCGGTTGTTGTAGTTGTTGGTTGTGGGGTGCGCTTTTGCTTGTCGTTGCGGATGTGGTTGTGGTTATCTCGTTCTTATTGTTCTTCTTGTTGCTGTTGCTGCTGCAGCTGCTGTTGTTGTTGTTGTTGTGGTCGTTGGTTGTTGGTTGTTGGTTGTTGTTGTGGTCGTTGGTTGTTGGTTGTTGGTTGTTGGTTGTGGTTGTTTTTGTGGTTGTTGTTTCTGGTTGCAGTCTGGGTATTGCGGGGCTGTGGCCTGTGAGGTTATTGATGCATTTGCTCGTGGTGCTTCCATGGCTTCTGCTTGTTAAGTGCTGCGGGTGTTTTGCTGCTGCCCAAGCGTCTATAGAAAAGGTCCAGCAGTCCAGCGTTTCGGATTGTCGGGGAATTTCATGATCTTGCCGTTGTGGTCGTCGTCGTCATTGTTTTGTACTGCATGCCATGTTGAAAGGATCGTCCTACCCTATGGCCAGCTGGTGCATCACGGTGGCAGATGGAGGGTTTGCGCGGATAGAATCCATCTCTGGACTTCGAGAACGCCCGAGCACTAAAGGTCTTACTGCAGCCCGTGCACCCTAAGCCCACTTTGAACTCACACTGAGCAATCAGATAATCTGCATGCTCAGGTTGTGGGAGTGGGACTTTGACTGATCATGTCTATCAGTCGTTGTCATTGTCCATCGTTTTGTGAAGAAGAAGAGGTGTTGATACAGGTAAGTACTACGATTACTACGGCATTTCTCATAAGGATCGAAAGAGGCAGCCTCGGACCTCAAATCCCGAGCGGTTGTGGGACTGCCCAGCGCCTGTTTGGAAACTGCTCGGTGAATGATGATGATGATGATGGTGATGAAGAAATGAATATCTGGATGTCGGGCAAAAGTTCCTGCAGTTTTTGTCACGCTAAGGATCGGACGGTGCAGGAGCACAGTGACCCGTACTGGGAAACGTGCTACCAATCTGCTCCGGAGCACAGTGACCCGTATTGGGAAACTTGCTACCAATCTGCTCCGACACATGCCTGCGTTCCTGGGATGAACGATTTAGGGTTTAGGGTTTCGGGTTCAGGATTTTTCTGGAAGCTCCATCCATCCATCCATCCATCCATCCATCCATCCATCCATCCACCCACCCACCCACCCACCCATCCATCCATCCATCCATCCATCCATCCATGCACACATGCATACATCCATCCGTCCATCCGTCCATCCGTCCATCCGTCCATCCGTCCATCCGTCTATCCGTCCATCCGTCCATCCATCCATCCATCCATCCATGCACGCATGTATTGCTTCCTTCCTCCAATCCTGGATTCACTCGGTGACTCAGAGATCACCTTCAGTTTAGCATCTTGAGACTTTCTGCACCCCTTTGAGCCTGCCGCAACATGCTTCTTGACTCGAGCCCACAAAAACCAGCAGCGACAAGGGTTCGGTAGCAGTAGGTAACAGTAATACAGGAGTTGAGGTTACGACCCTGCCTCGCTCACATAGGTGGCGGTTTCCACGAACCTACATTGCGGGCGAGGTTTGCTCAAAAGAAGAGGCTCCGCATCTAGACCCGAACATGGCCCGGCACGAGCTCCCTGTGACATCGCACAGAAGCCCGAAGCTACAAGGGTCTAGGATCCTCCTGACTTTCTCCTCTTCCGGACCGGAAACATCGCCAATTCAATAGTGCCCCTCCAGGGCCTTCCGGCAGTGACGCTGTTGCCATCGGTGGCTCGGCTGCGAAGTCTTGGGAGCTTTCAGGCTTCTTGAGGTGTTTATATGGTTTGAGCAAGGCAGACCCGAAAGCTACAATGCCCAAAACACGAAATTATCGCTTCGTCAAAGGTTGGGAGTCTGGCAGATTTCTAGTTTTTAGATTTGTCTGCGAAGCACAAGCCATCTAACAGGGGTCGTGCAATCAAGAGAAATGCGAAATTTTGTCTGTGGTATCAAGACAGTTGTTGTAGAATGGTAGGTGTTATCAGGGCCATCAGGAACTTGAGAGCCCAGTCCTGATAGCAGCTCTAGGAAAAGTATTAGACGCACTTGCAGTCAGAGCCCTACACACCCAAGAACCATTCCACGAGAACCGGTCAGGGTCTCGCAAGACAACGGCGGTAGGAGCACCACTGCGAACTTGGGAAACTCCACAACCACTTAGAACGGTGAATGGTGGGATTGCGAAACGACGTGGACCAGTCCGGAGTTACGTAGCCAGAGGCAGTCGGGATATTCGCAGTCGGGATATTCATAGCAGTCGCGGTGCGCAGAGCCAGGCATGTTCACAGATGTGGACAGCACCCAGCGGGACTGCTTCCATGGTAGCCTGGGTGCAATGAGGACACCTTACAAAGTTGGGTTCAGACAGGTTCTTCGCGATCCCATCAAGTTCTGCAGATCACAGTGTGTTTGCGGATTGGAAAGGCCTGTTTGTTCGTCCGTCCCTGTCTATGTCCATGCGTGTATGTACAAACCCACATATACCACCACCACCACCACCACCACCACCACCACCACCACCACCACCACCACCACCACCACCACCACCACCACCACCACCACCACCACCACCACCACCACCACCACCACCACCACCACCACCACCACCACCACGATATACCATCTATGAATCTATATATGTATATTCATATTCATACACACATGCAAATCTGTATATTATGTATGTATATACATACACGCATACATGTAGACCTAAATATGTGTACATGTACAGATATAGATAAATAGGCACACACACATATGTATATATGTGTGCCCATGTACATGTATATATGTGTGCGTATGTACCCGTGCACATGTACATGTATGCAAGCATGCATGCATGGATGCATGCATGCATGTATGTTTTCAGGCATGTTTGTCTGTACGTTTGTATGCCTGCAATGGATCGACGGATGATATTCAGGTACATTTGCGCTTTGCATACACTTGACGTGTCATCTCCGCCAGCGGCCTGTTGTAGGAGGAAGATCTCCGATTCCTTCACCACTAAGCTAGCTTGGTTATGGTCAACTCCCCAAGTTTCCGTCAGCACAATCTTGAATCGTCGAATCCACATCAGGCGCGAGTATCTTTAGTATCATTGTCATCTTGCAGTACGGCAGAAAGGTTCTAGATTCTAGAGTCTTATAGCATCATGCTGCAGCTTTTGCACTCTTCCTCACAATTTCTCTCTGCGAACACCTCACCGGGCCAATTCTAAGGTGGCGGAGCCCCTGGAGACGTGGCAGTCCGCTTTGCAGGCGCCAAAATCATTTTTGTCAGCGGTGCTGTGCTTCGGTACTGTAGCAGCACTGCCCACTGTTTCTCGTGTACATATAGCCACAATGATAGCGCGAGAGCCGTAGATTATGTTAAGAACTATAGCGGCATATCGCCAGCGACACTATTGTACATGACGTGGACACCGTTCAGCAAAGGGGAGCGCCGCGCGCGGGGCCATGGAGCAGACATGTGTGGTGATCGCCTCAACTCGAAGTCTTCTGAACTCGGCCAGGGCCAGCAATGGCCATTCCTTCCAATGAGTGAGATGGTGTCCTCGATGCAAGCTGGGCAGAACCGGGAGGTGGAGTTCGGGTTCAGGGCTGGGCTCGGAGAGTTAGCGTGGATTCTCGTGTCGTCATAAGCGGGAAAGGTGTTCGTGAGTCTTGCACCACTTTCATGTATTTTGTTCGGGGTTGCGTTTTGGGCGTTGCTCTGAATACACTAAATGCGGGAAGAGTGGCAATCGTGTAGGCAATCGCCAGTCGTCGTCTACTCCTCCTACAACAACACTTACAACTGCTGCCACTAACACTTTGATTACCACGATAACGACGGCGATGTTGACTACTGCTACTGCTACACTGCTACTTCTGCTACTTCTGCTACTTCTGCTACTGCTGCTGCTGCTGCTGTTGCTGCTGCTGTTACAACAACAGCGACGAGCAGAAGAAGAAGAACAGCATCATCAACCGCAACAGTGGCAACAACAACAACAGCAGCAGCAACAACAACAACAGCAACAGCAACAGCAACAGCAACAGCAACAGCAACAGCAACAGCAACAGCAACAGCAACAGCAACAGCAACACCACCACCACCACCACCACCACCACCACCACCACCACCACCACCACCACCACCACCACCACCACCACCACCACCACCACCACCACCACCACCACCACCACCACCACCACCACCACCACCACCACCACCACCACCACCACCACAACAACAACCAACAACAACAACAACAACAACCAACAACAACAACAACAACAACCACAACAACAACAACAACAACAACAACGACGGCAACAACAACAACGACGGCAACGGCAACGGCAACGGCAACGGCAACGGCAACGGCAACGGCAACGGCAACGGCCCCCACCACCCCCACCACCCCCACCACCCCCACACCCCCTCCCACCCCACCCCTCCTCCGCCCCCACCACCCCCTCCCACCCCCACCCCCTCCACCTCCACCGCCACCACCAGCACCAGCACCGGCACAAGAACCAGCACCAGCACCACTGCCACCGCCAGCATCACCACCAGCATCAGCACCGCCACCTGTTACTTCGAACACTGGAAACCACGGCAATACCGCACTTGCATTGACAATTGCAGTTGCGACAAGCTTTTGTGCAGAAGTGAGACCCTGCTGCTGGTACCGTTCTTGGTTTCAGTGATTCTAGCCGTGTTTCAACGATTTTTCCTGTTAGGAAATAGCTTTGCTATCCGGCCGTGTGCTCGTTTCCATCTTAGGCCAAATTGCATTTGACCAACCGAGGACTCCCTTTATTCGAGTGTGCAGAGCAGCTTTGCTTTCAGCCAGGCGATCGCTGAAGAACTTTGGGGGCTTGCGACTGCAAATTCGAATCGGCTTCGGCCCCTAGCGTCGTCTGCAAAGCGAGCTTAGCAGGCAGTGACTGGTTGCAAGTGCACCGATGAAGGGCAAGCTTGCATTCAACTCCTCAGACCGGAAACTTTTCTGCTTCCAACAGGCAGCATGTCCACCAGTACTGGCGCTTTGAGGTCTTGTGAAGCTCAGCTCCGCCACAACCCGCATCATTGATTCAATTCTCTACCACATCTCCCGCTGTGTGAGGGCTACGGGACGGCAACAGGTACCAGGCAGCCCTAAACCCCCAACCCTGCTGCATCCTAGCTCCTTCATGTGGTCTGCTCCAGGTGCAAGCACCCTGGGGGCAGCTGCATCTTGCCCAAAGCCAGCCTCAGGTTGCTTGACTTCAAGCATGGAACCAAAACCGGGGCGACACCCAGTCCACAAAGAACCCCACCCAGACTGCTTCTGAGGCCGTCTAAAGATTTCGCCAGCAGCTTTCAGGTCAAGACGGCCCGTACATTAATTAAACCTTAAGTCTAACAAACCCTTTCTCCTGAGCTCCAACGCCTTTCCAGCTGGGGGGGGGGGGGGGGCAATATTCAACCGGATGGGTTTCCAGGAGTTTGCCCCATGTGATCCGGCCAATCTGTATAGAATTCAGGTGTTAGAAGGAACTATGACAAATACTGCCTAGATCCGCAGCCTTGAGCCTCTCTAGAGCAACTGTTAGAAGTAGCACATGGATGAGGCAGGTTGCGGGCATGGATATAGCCACGGGTGCCTTACAAAAGCAACTGCCGCCTGCATTGTCGGCAGCGGCTCTGAGTCGTGTCCGAGTGCAAAATCAAGACAGCTTGTGTGAGGGGCCAAAGAGGGACAAGGATCTACCGCTGGAAGCTAGCGAGCTAAACACCTCTGCTGAAAGTCTCGAAGAGCTTGCTTGAAGCTCGTGGCTATTCTGGGCTTCGGTCATGGAGTTACGCGAAGACTTTACAAGGAAGTGCTCGGCGCATAAATCGAGTCTTGTCTTACTGTAGCGGCCTTAGCGTTTTGTCATGGGGTAGTTGCACATGCTTGAAGCAATTCTACGGAAGATCGGAGCTCATACTTCCGAGTTTTCGACGACCCACGCGACTCTCAACCCTGAACGGCAAAAGCTCCAGGCGGTGGAGGGTTTCTTCCCTTTGTCTTCTTGCAGTGTGACTCGGCTGCAGAGATAGCCCGAGAGGTTCTGAGCTGTGACGACGAAATACATGCGAAGCATTCCATAATTAAGAGTTGCATATTTATCAACCGCAGCACAACACGAACGCATATTATTTGATCATTTGCGCAAAACTAGCAGGGGACGCCCGAAAGCATATTCCCAAGCATAACTACGCACCGAATCTGCCAGGGCATTCCGGGACGATACCTGGGGGGTTTCGATTCTGGACCCGTGGATCGGGCTTCGCCGGCCTCTACTACACCCGGCTGCAGCGTGACTCGGACGCAGAGAATGCGAGCCCCGGAGTCTTGCGAAGCGGGCTACATGCGAGGTTCAGGGAGCTGTTTTTGCAAACAAGATGTCCTTAAGATGTTCCTTACAAGTGTGCTAGGGAATTGTAGAAGTGTTGTCCGAAGCCCATTCTGTATCCGGACTGTTCCGGGGCCCGCCTTCAGGT